GTAGTAGTTGTAGTAGTTGTAGTAGTTGTTGTAGTTGTAGTAGTTAGTAGGTAGTAGTTCGTAGTGGTAGTGGTAGTGGTAGTTGTAGTGGTAGTGGTAGTGGTAGTGGTAGTGGTAGTCGTGGTAGTCGTCGTAGACGTAGTAGTCGTAGTAGTCGTAGTAGTAGTAGTAGTAGTAGTAGTAGTAGCTAGTAGTAGTTAGGTAAGGATTTCAATGGACAGCAATAGCAGAACAACAATAAAGTTACATGTTTCCCGTAGGGCTCCAAGTTTGCTTATTAATCCCACCCCCTAAACAATTCATACTATTCAATTACCCTGGGCTTGTGTACTAGCCCCTTGAAAAATTGTTTGGAGCAATGAAATCGTTGAGTTTTAATAAGCGTTTTTGAAAACGACTTTCAGGTCAGAATTCCATGAATCAAGCAAACCTCAGGAGAGTTAAGTAAGGATGTTAAAGGGTGAGCAATGGCAGAACAATAGAAAACCAAACAAATCTCAAAAAAAGAGAAAACATTAGGTGAAGAATCATGTTTAATATTCCGACCCATTAAACTAATCAGGGTGTGTGAATAATTTGGCGAAAACTATTATTATTCCGTCCCATTATACTAATTTGGATTCAACTATTGGTTATATATATATACATGCTCAACTGCCTCTTTGCTGGACCAGCCATGTCCCAGCACCTGGAAGCTTCGTTGGTCTCGTCTCAATTTCCTTCTGCAAGCATCCACCCTAGAGTCCCTAGAGGCTTGTTTTTCTTTAACCAGCTTCGCAACCAAATACCACCAACTTCGGTGCCCTAGGCCCTGGCTCTTCCCGAATGTGGCTCTTTTTGCCTTGGCCAAGTTTACTGGAAAGCGATGGCATGCCGGCGCACGGAGACCCACTGGAGTATATAGTGAGTTCCGTGTGGGGCCCGGTCGTGAGATACTGGGAGAATCCCTCGCCACCATGTATAGGATTGGTATTGGAGTTACTATACCCAAACACTCCATGTCTGTCATATATGCCTACATTGACCCCTCAAACCACCCCAATGTAGGTAGATATACCGTTACATGGAGTGTCTGGAATAGGTACTGTATATCTATGCCGTACATGGAGTCTTTGCAGGGTGAGACGCTCGATGAAGTGTACCTGAGACCGCTCGGCAGGTCCTGCAGGTCTTTCTTCTGGCAGGTCTCGGCGACGCTCCAAACAGCTGCACCGGTCGAGGGAGTTGAGAACTGAGAGTCCAAATGACCAACATGTTCATGTTTCTATGAAGCCATGGGGTACATGGAGGTACCTGGTCTTTGGAGTCCCTCATCCCTCATGCCCTGCCGTGGCCCGCCCAAATGCGTGACCCAAAGAATGGCTCCCCGCTGTGCAGCTCATGAACGCCTTAGAGAAGTTCGAGGATTTCGGCTACCAGAAGCGAGTCGATGCCGGCGCACTTAGCACCGCCCGTCCAGCGAGTCGAAGCGGTCGACCATCGGACTGACTGTAGCGATCAGTTGGAGTGGTTTGGGGGTCAATATAGGCATTAATCTATTCCATACATTGATGGTCTGGGGAAAGAATGGGTTCAACAGTCAGACAATCAAAGAGATCGCTGTTGCCATGGGCACTGGTTTTGGGTGCAACAAGTCTCACCGTACGTGTCATGTTGTTGAAGTTGGAAGCCTGTTCATGGCATATATGCATGTCATATGGGCCCGTCCATGCCACACCCATGTGCAGTTCTGTCAAGTTAAACCAGTAATCAATTATGAACTATTGTTTTGCCTGCTATTGCTGGGACGATGAGTCTATTCCAGACAATTATCAGGTATGTTCCAAGTGCGGCAGATACCAACAGGTCATCTCTGGAGCCAGGGCCGCCAGGGGTATTTGTTGGAACCCGTTCTCGTGCAAGATTCTTCAAGATGGATGCACTGTGCAATAGCATTTTGTTGGGATATCTTTTGATGCCTTTGTTGTGGCGGAAAGGACGTCGTGACTGTTTGTACTGGGTGTTCATGAGTTTGTGTTGAATTGAGTTGAATAATTCAACATTGGTATCTTTTGTTTCAGTGTAAGATGGGCCAGCGACCCTTTGTTTCATGTGCTTTTCATCCGTCCAGATGGTGTTCAGGAAAGAAAGTTCCCGATCTACGATGCGGCACGGGGGCCTTGAACTGCGCACGATGCACGAACTGCACTGTTCATGGTTCGATTTGCATGAAAGAACAGCCGAAAGAACTTGCAAAATAATGGTACCATTCTACAGTGGTCCCAGTAGTGGTCCCCCCAATAGATCAAATTTGGATGTCCAATGGTGTTGAAAAGGAATTCACTTGTCACTTGTTAAATCTTTTATTTTTTTGGGGGGATCACCGTATAGGTCTTGCCAGGAAACAGACATGACACAGTTCCAGTCGTTGGCGCCTCTGTTGTTGTGGCTGACAAATCATCCGTTGTTCGGAAGGATGGTCAGCCGTCAGGTCCCCGGTCTGAATGGCAGGGTCTTTCTTCCACCCACCAACCTGGACCCACCAACCTGGCGTAACAGTCTGACTTGGTAGGGAAGAATGTTGGTTTCTAAGCCTCCCAGAGTCTCTCCCATAGTTTTGGCTGGTTTTGGCGGTGATGTTAAAAACAAAAAACACAAACCACACACAAATAGCTTTCCTGCCTGTAGGGGAACACGTCGACCCAGGTCGACCCAGGTCGAAACGGACGATGCAGACATCTCACTTTTGGCCCTTTGGTCGTCAGTCCAACCATCAAGTTTTTGGGGGTCCCATCGTTGGCCGTGGATGTGACAGGGGGCCCAGCCAGTGACTCCTGGTAGCTTCTATACCGCTATAATCCGCTATAGACATATATAAATGCGGTCTACGTGTCCTGAAAGTTGACCTAAGCTTTGTTGAAACCGTGCCACCCCCGAACCTCGCGGCTCGGCTGAGCAACTCCCCCGAGGTCCTGGAGCGAGCGTTGAAGCGCAGCAGGCGCGAATCGGTGGATCGCCAGTGGCAGAGTGGTGCTCCAAGCTGAGTGGTTCACTGGGAATTCGATGGACAAAACCAACACCACGGTGATTGATCAATCCTTGATCACATTGAATATAGAAAGCACATCGAAACACCATGGTCACGGCAAAATCTATAAACCACTCTCTGGGTGGTGCTGGAACCTATACCAGTCTTAAACCATGTGGTAAAAGAAAACACTCTACCAGCACCACCCAGCTCGGTTGGTTTCTAGACCCCTCTGAAAACCACCGAATATTCCATCTAATCACCACCCAAGCTGGGTGGTGGTTAGAAGCACCTACTATAGGTGCTAGGTGGACCTCGCTCCAATCAGTCCTCGATCTCCAGGATGGACCTCTTGGGAGAGGATGGACCCACATCACCTCAGGCCGGATCGAGCGTGCACCGGTCGTGCACCGAGCACGGTCTACCGTCGCACATCGGCCCGAGCAGCGAAGCGAGGGGGGAGCAGGGTGGATGCAGCTGCCAAGCGTTTTGGGTGCCAGTGATTTTGGTGGTGACAGCGCTAAAAGGCTGCCTGTTGCAAGCAATTTCTCTTTTGGTAGATTGGACTGCAGCACATCTTTGGCGTGGCAGGGTGTAGCCCACGGGTATTTGGTGGTTTCTTCTGCTTTCTTTGCACCGATGAAGAAACCATCGAACAGACCTCGGAAACTGCGTTACGGCCCGTTGCTGGTGATGCTTAGGGACTGCCACACATCCCACAAGCAAAGTCTGGTCTCGCTCAACCCTAAACCCTAGTGGCATGGATTATGTCACTATGTCCAGATTGTGATCGTGGAAGTGGGTCATGACACTGTGTCCTTTGCAGTTCACAACTTGACCAATATGCCCAGGAAAATCAACATGGGTTTCGGCACGGTTTGGCTGATCGCCAAAGTCTGTTGGGTACTATAGGGGATCCACGATGCTGACTGTTTGTAGTACAAATATTTAGGCTCTAGCACAATATGAAACCACTAGCAAGGGCAGCCAGGGCAATCACAAGTGGGCGCATGAACATTCAGCACTTTCAGGTCGCTTTCCCCAGGCACCCTGGCGACGCGAGATCTCGCCCACTCGCCTCTACACCGCCCACGTACTCGCCCTTAATTGGAGGCGGTCTCGGAAAAGACGAGCCTTAAGGCTGCCGGCAAAGCCGTGTGGGGAGGCCCAGGAGCCGTTTGGGTTGACATGAAGAAGCGAAGCTTCGCGCGCGCGAGTCCGACGCGTGCTACAGTCAGGATGAAGCACATGCTTGCTGATCGAATCCTTTTATACAAGCAGCTGGAGATAGCTGGAGTAGTTCGCACAAACACACCAAACCCACAGAGGTTTTTTATCCATGGATTCATAACCTAGCACGGCCTTAAGTGGGATATGACCCTTGGACAGTGCCTACATCATGGATGTCGCCCTTGGTCCCAGTCACTTTTTGGTCGACAACAAAAAGGCGGCCACACACCCGGTGGCATGGCGGCCACCTGGCACCCCAGGTTGGCAGTTGGTGCTTTGTCCAGTGCAAAGAGAAAGCCCAACACCTAGAAGTTCAGAGCTCTCTCTCACCAGTTCCGAGAAGTTGAGGATGGGAGAGAGGACGAGTTGGGGCATGTGAGCGGTGAGCAATTTGCTTGTTGTAACATGTTGTAACTGTTTGATTAGAACCTAGAAAGGGTGACTCTGTGGTTCAAAGACGGGGGAAAGAAACGTTTGCGTACGCCAATTAGATGTGCTGTACTTTCACCCCGGAGCGGGTCGCAATCTCGATCGGACCATCTCAGGCTCGGAGTGTTGTTGAGCCCATCAATTTGTTCATCCACAAAACGATGGAAGGTGTCAAATCGTTCCTACATATTTCATATTGGTGTTGTCATGTGTTATCAAGGTTGTCCCATACTTGCCTCTTTAGATTCTCGAATAGAATGATGTAGAATTCCTAATGCAGTCATGCACACCACTGCTTCTGTGCTTTCTTTGGATGAGACCGATGAGACGGGGAGTCCCACCACAGATGGCCTGACCTACGATTGGTTGATGAATAGAAGGGATACCCCCAGGTCAACAACCAAGTTCGGTCTATGGTACCTGGCATCAACCCCAAGGACATCATTCCCACGGTCGGACATCATCGACCCCTCACAGTGTCATTGAAAAGCAAAGCTACCGAGGCCTGGGACAGAGGAAGAGGAGAAGGGAGCCAACTGTGACTGCCTGAGTGCCGCCGGATTCCGGGTCGAGAGTTGGATGAAGAATCAGCGGGTCGAGAGTTGGGTGGAGATGCCGGATTCCGTTTGAGACGGAATCGCAGCTTCACTGGGTTCCGGGCACGCAGGCAGCGGGTCGACCGTGCCTTTTCTTTGAGCTGGCCGGATTGGAATTGGTCAACTTTTGATGAACTGCGAGCCTGAAGATGTGCCCTGCTTTTTTTAAGAACCAGAGAACTGAGTTCTTTGCAGATAATGGTAGGTTGTGCATGTTTTTTTTCCGGACGCTGATGCCAAGGCTGTTGATGATTCTACGTGTCATCATTGCTGTCATTGTGTTCGTGTTTATTTCCCCTGCCTTGCCGTTTGTAGCTTCTTGCTAGTCTTGTAGTCTTGCATATAATTTCTGGGGGGAAGGCTGGATTGAAGCTGCTTCCCTTTTAAGGCATTTGCTGCATGAGCAGATTCAAGACTTCAACAAAGTACAGAAATTGTGTGTTACCAAATGCGCCAAGGCAAGCTAAGCATTACAAGGTATAGACGTTGATCACCTTGAAATAGGAAAACTCCCCGGGGTTTAACCAACCAAAATCACCCCCGTTGGTGGATGATATCCGTGGGCATCCCCGAGCGGCCAAATAATACGGGCATGCAATATGCAAAGGCACAAAAAGCCGCTGGTTGACGGGTCTCTCTTTTCTAATGCAGAGCCACATCTTTCGCTGCCCACTGCCACAGGAGACAGGGGTCTGGCAAAACTGCGCAAGAGCAGGTCGTTGAGTCGTTTGGTCTTGATGTGCAAAACATGCAACATGCTCTTATATAGATACATATATATAATACTAATTACATGCAACACATCAACACATGATTACACCAGTGTTATATCGTTTATCCTATGTTTATCCGTTTTACATGTGTATGTCATGCACCCACGGGGGAACGCCAGCATTGAGGAACTGCAGAACGCGGGTTTCTCAAAAAAACGCCACGTGATGTGGAACGATCGCTGAGGGGCTTCAGCTTCCTGAAAATACAGCCAGGCGGGGAAGGGAGACGCCAGGATGACGCCAGGCGATTCACTCCGGGCTCTGGAGCCACCTCCGTTTCAGGGACGGTGCTGAGTTGGTGGGTGGATCTGGTGCTGAGTTGGTGACCGAGCAGATTTGTGGGAGAATCGGGGGTTTTCCTATGGGTCGCCAGAGACGATGGCAGGGGAGCGGTAAGCGGTTGCACATCGATTGTTTCATGTATGGAAGTCGCTTCTTGATCACACCCATTCCCAAAGATTCCCATTCCCAGTCGACCCCTTGGTGCCAAAAATGGTGCCTCCACGTCGACGGTTCGCTCCCCATCACGTCGGGTCGGCTGTTTCGACCGGCTGAACGTGATTGCTCCGTTTCGCGCGGATGTGCGCGGTCAGTTGCGGAAAGCGCTTATAGGGATTTTCCGTGGCCCAACCACTTGGCACGATACTTCCAAACAAACCTGTGCTCCAAAGAATGATGGGTGCCCAGATTCGGGAGCTGTAGCTGTTTGCAGAGAAATCCGGACGGAGGTCAGTTTCTATGCTGAATTCCTGCTCGAGACTGGCAGGTTGCAGGTTGCGACACTGCAGGTGATGTAGCAGATGCAACAGGTGGGTAACGAGATGTGATGTTTTGGTTGTGAAGGATGCATGGATCACGTGCAACATTGTGCAACAAGCATTATGGCTCACATGCAAGACACCCTTTTCTGTCAGATGGTCACAATTAAATTATGGAAGTCCCAACAGCCATGGAACCCGGTTTGTCAAACTGCTTTCAGGTTCCATGTTCATTGCAGCTTATTGCCCCGAGTGATTCAAAGACCATTGGGAATATGGCAATGCAGAGGGAACAGTTTCTTCATACATGCAGCCACTCATCCAAAAGCCCTTGTTATGGACCAAGATTATATCATGGATTGATCTGTGAAGACCATCGATCCCCCCGAAACCACTACTGTATTGGATACATTAAAATAGGGAGACCCCAGTTCGACCGGAAGACCAAAACCGATGTGTTGGGGGGGTCTCCCTGTTTAAATATAGACGCCATGTGGGTGTGCATAGTGACCAAATGACCATTCACAGACCGATCGCTATACATGTTGCATGAAATATCCAAGGATATCCTTGAACCAAAAACCTTCGCTACCCCCCTGTTGCCTTTCAAGCGTCCGCAGCCAGGGCGTTTTTTTATCGCAGACGTTGTTGGCGGATGCATCCAGATTTGCGCTAGTCATAGACCAAGCGATGTTGGCCAAAAGCTCTGGACGTGTTTTTGTTTCATTTCTTTGAATCAGAACCCAAAACTAATTAGTCCACGAAACGTGAAGCCGAACGGGACTTGTCCAGAGCTTGCAAACGCTGCCGCCTGGTCCTTGGCTGGAGCCTTGATCCTCGGGGGAACATCCGAGGCTCGAGGATCATCGGGGGTTTTCACCGGCAAGACCGTTCATCCGACGATCCCCCACGGCCGAGACGCGTGGCAGGCACGTGAAGTTCAGACAAATAGGTTCTTACAGCTCCACAGAATTGGCAAAGGGGAGTTGACGAAAAGGAACTGTCCCCCAGGAGCTTCTGGAGGTTTTGTTTGTTTATGTTTGTTTTGTCAGACTTGTATCGGGTGCATGTTCCACATTAGATGTCTTCTTTCTGGGGTTCACAGTTTGACCATGAGGTACCCATCTTTGACTCACCCACAACACCTCAAGGAGCATTGCTCGGCCGGGATCATTTTCCCAACAAAGTGCCTACCAGATGGGCGAGGAAGAAGGTGTCATGAGTCTGACTGGAAAGCTTGAAAGAAGTTATATGTAAAGGAATTTATATAAGTTCTTTTGATCAGTTTCGAAGGACATCCTTGCTGGTCTGTGATTCACCTGCAAAGTACCTGCCTGTGGCCTGTGTTGTTTGTTTCTTCAGCTGCAGAGTTTCCGTAGGAAGGTATGTTTGGTTTAGGTTTTTCAGGATGAAAGGATCACCAGTAACAGTAAAAAGACTTCACGATGTTTGGGCAGCCTTGACTATCCATCATCGTCCACTGCTGCTGGTAATGGGATTTACCGATATACCCAATTAAGAGCTATAGTTCAAGGTATCTACTGTAGCCTATAGACAATCCATATATAACAGAAAGACCCCCCGAAGCACACACTGCCATTGTCGGCAGTCCCAGACAGGTCGTGTTGAAATGCAGATCTATGACCCCCCTCTCGGTCCTCGGGTCACTGCGTGGCGAGGTGTCGAGATCGGTGTTTCGATGCGGCACATGGTGCTGACTCTGTGACCTTTTGGTGCCTGAAGATGGGCGAAGGGTGCTTCACTCGGTTTGAAGCCCGAAGCCAGAGTTTCAGAGTTCGCCAGATTCGAACAAAAGGATTCGGACAGAATAAGAGATACACACACACACACTTGCGCGGACCCTGAGAATAAACCTGTGGAAAACCATTTTCCATAATGTTCCTCTACAACCCAGTCATTTTGGGTTCCAAGGCTTAACAGCCGCAAGGCAATGTGATGACGTGCAGCGACAGTCAGACTCCATTTCGTCACCGTGTTGCGAGAGGTTGCGTTCTGCAGGCTGTCTTGGACTAGAAATACGACTTCCCGTTGATCATACAGATGGAGGCAAGATGCACAATTACTGTATCAAACACACACATTATATCAATGTCGTGCGCAGCTTGCAATTCCCTCCAATCGGTTTGTGGCGAAGGCTCGCAGTCCATTTGGGCACACTTCCAACAAACGACCACACGGACTCTCCGAAGGAACCGTCCGGACGGCCAAGGACGACCGTTCTCAATTGGTCAGACGGTTCTTTCGACCTTTTGGGAAAAACACGACACGGAAGTGCCCAGATGTCTTCCCCGGTGTCCCTGGTTCATCCGGTCCACTCGAAGAGTGCGTGAACCAACGGCCACGGGCGGCCAACGTCTTCGTTTGGCCACTGCGAGCACCACGAGCGCGACGGTTCGCCCACAGCGAGCGGCGATGCATGGCTGGGCGGCGAGGCAAGTGTTGCAGGTGGCCCAAGTTCGAATTTAAAGGATCTATATTGGCTGTGGGTCGCATACACGAAGTGAAACGAAATATCTAAAAAACGCAAGGCAACAGTTTTGTTGTGAGATGCACCTGTCACACGTGGATCCACCCCTTCATGGATGTCAGCCTCCCGTTGTTTTGAGACACTGAATTGGGGTGAGCAACAATCGAAGCATGGTTCTGGTCCGATGATTCGTCTAGAGGCGAACGGAAGCATTGGTCGTTTGGAAGCCTTGGTGTGTTTTATGAAAAAAACAACGGCTGATCTATCTTTTTGATAGCAAAGTAATATCCATTCTGATTCTCTATAGACTGACTCTAGACTCTAGACTCTGACAGCAAGAACCAGCAAGCAACTGAAGCTTGAATTGGTGAGAGTACCTGGACATCAAGATCGTACATCATGGAAGATCCTAAAACGTAAGAGATCGGATGACCCAGGTCCGTCCGAACTGACCGAGAAAACCGGACCTTTAAACAAGCAAAGCACTCATTGTGAACAAGGCCTGCAAGCTAACCATCCACTGTGACTGGCAATGGGATAGACCCAAGAGATCCGGTCCTCAAGATCCGCATCTCGCGGACGCCGCGGACGCCGCGGAAAGGGCGCTCGACACCGAGTCTCGCCGTGAAGTCCCTCCCTCCGAGCAGGGCCCCTTTGCGCGGCACATGTCTCCGATGGGCTGGAGCGGTCGAAGCGCAACCGGTTTGAAGCACCAAGAGGGTGGAGGAAGCACCAAGGAGGCATCCGGTTTGGTGTGGGGCCGATGGGGCACACCCATGAGTGTCCATGGCACTCTGAAGCAGTCAGGGGTGACAGAACTCCCGAATTGGTGGTGCGAATCTCCGTATACGGTTGTTTGTCAGTAAGTCAAGAATGTGAACTGCTTTTCTTGGCATTCTATCGTTTTGTTACTATTGGAGTTGATAGGCTCCGGCCTACTTCCTTTATTGGAGTCAATACTGATGTGCCACAGCGCTGTGCTCGCTTTGACAGACATCAAGGGTCTCCTTTCAAGCAATAGGCAGCTGTAGGTGTCCGGAAAGTATGTCGCAAAGTACACTAGCACCTAGCACTAGCGACAATAGTTTCACTGGAAAATACTGGAAACATGAAAAAGGGGCGGACCCAATCATTGGTATTATTTCAACGGAATAGGGCGAAATCAACCGACGACGTCGGTACCGACTATATATTTTGCTGCGCCGCACCGATTTCTCCCCTGTTGGATGACTCGCTTGGATTGGAAGACATGGGGTCTGCAGAGGGCTGACTATTAACATGGATTGTCTTGGCCACATGAACTGTACAATCTCAAGCAGCAACTCTGGAAGACCCAAACAATTGTCCAGTCTTGTCAGCTGATGCAGTCGACTGCATGTCTTCCGTCGAAGCAGTGACCCGGCGATTGAAAGTGCGGGGCCCGGGGCTGGGCGGGAATCCGAGGGACTTTCAGGAACGGACGCGAGTTCGGCACGCGACTGGGGTCCTTTTCACTTTGAGTCGACACGGGTTTTCAGACGTAGAAAGGTGGACATGATGCCATGGCACCCCAACATGTCTTTTAGATGGGGATTCATAGAAACCACCGAACTGTGGCCTTGAGTAGATTGAGCACAAAGAATGTTCAATGTTCTCATAAAGATCTTAAACGACTGAATCCATTCTATATAGATTCGAGAACATGAATCCACATGCTCTTCATTGCAGACAGATCGCAGGCTCACAGGCTCTCAGGAAAGGAACCACAAGTTATCCAAAAGGCACCGGCCACATAGCTGCCATGTGGGAAGGTCCTCTAGGCGGTCAAATGGTTTGGATGGCAATTGGGACTCTTTTGGGGATCTTGGGAGAGTGATGTGTGTTTTCCCGACTGTAATCCGCAACATCCTGTACATGTCCATTGGGATGCTTGGCCTTACTTGCTGATTCGACTGGCCGCCATGGATTAAATTTGCCTGGCCGCAGCGATTTCCGTGCCGCCATGGCCACCAGATGGCCGGACTGGGCATGACGCTTGCGACACAAATCGACACAATCATCACGAGAACATGTTTCTATTATATATATATATATTGAATATATGTATTGATTTTTATGGGACTGAGAAGATCAGGTATAGTGAAATGTGATGCTCCAAGTGTATGGCTGGTAACGCCTTGACTGGTTCGCTCCCGGTTGTGACCTCGAGGCGTTCGTCCTTGCTCCGGCCGCTCGCAGGCGGGAGCCGTTCGCTTCGTCGATAGGAGCCCCATGTATGTGAACATTGCTCCTAGGTCCTAGTAAGGCCAGGAGCCCCTAGTAGCTTCTTGTTACTAGTAAGTATTGCTATACATGCAGAATACCTGGAATATGTTGGAATAGATAGAGAGACACTCTCACCGTTACTAGCATGTACACACTCAACCAAGGTCCTGTGCTCTTCCAGTCATTTGTTTGTTGCTGCTTTTGGCTTTGGCGAGCTGGCAACATCTTTTCCAGAACACAGTTGCTTGGCGGAATTCCAACTGTCGAGCTTGACCCACCCGCAAGTAACTACACAGCACACTTCTCGTCGCCGCTCTAGCACATTCATTTGGTGACCTTAATGCCACAAGACATGGGTTATTCTACGGCATGAAGTCCAAGGACAACCCTATGGGCCAGGGGGTGGCATGAAACGCGGGACACAGCCATCCGCGCCAAGACAGATGCCACACACCGGCCGGGGGAGCAGAAGCGGCGGTTGAAAAAGCGAGTTGGATGTGCGTGTGAAAATGGAGGTGACGGACAGAAAGATGCAGATCCAGGATCCAACATTGACCCAATCTATAATATGATTCTAGTCACTGACTCAAGCCTTCCCTCTCAAGTCATTGAACTGGGTGGAACAGGTGGCATGGTTTGCTTCGTTGAGTTTTGGTAGTATGTTTGGTCATATTTCTCTTGGATCGCGTTCTGGTTCTTGAATCGGGTTTCTTCAGATCCTGGCTTTAGTGGGTCTTGACCCCTCACCCCATGCAGGGGCACCAACAGGCGTGGACCTCACATGTTTGGACCTCCTTTTGCTTCAAATTCGTGAGAGTCAAGAGGGTCGCAGAGACAGGTGAACTGAGACCTGACTCGTGCTGCCTCTCACAGGCGATTCGCCTCCCTCCGGAAGCTTCGTGACCAGAGGCTCCGGAAGATACGTGGGGGATGTGAAAGCAACGGCTCGTCAGAACCAGAACGGCATGTGGGTGTGTAGGAAGACCCACTGCAGGCCCAATAGGTGTTGGTCCAGGGTCCTTTCGAACCAGGGGGGTGGGGCCGTTCTCCCTTCAAGACCAAATTTGTTCCTGGAATTGAGCTAAGCTCGTCATAACATTAGTCATAAGAAACACCATATCCCTCATCGGACTCCCAGACCTTTGTCGGCAATAGGCAAACTTGTTGGCACAAGCGGACCAACACAGATCGAGGTTCATGAGTTTGGACCTGACTGGCGACTGGCGACTCGGAGTTTTCACATGTGAAACCACACATGAGTTGATGTGTACACCTATACACACATCACACACACACACCATTCTGTACTGGCCCCCCGCGGATGATTTTGTGGAGGTCGGATTGACAAGCTCCACGCTCCACTTCTTTTCCTGCATTGCTTGGATGATCTGAACCACCCAGTCGCAATGACTTTTCACTGGGTCCTAAGAACTGGGGGTTTGTCGAAGCCTCAAACCACAGCGTCTCAGAGAATAACAGAAACTTTGAATGTACTAGGTCCATGCCCCAAGGCGTATCATCCTCAAAAAAGGCGTATCTTTGGGCGCCCGCTTGTATCTCTAGATCATTTCCCCCTCAATGTCAGAGGGGTTGTTCTTCTCGGTGAACCGCAGTCGGGTTCTTCTCAAAAAATCGAGGTCGGCAGTGCTGGACTTGCTCAAAGAGAAGGTCGGTGTCTTTGTGCAGTTTGAAGACCTTAAAGTAGGTCCTTAGGGCAGGCTATTGCTGAGGCTCTAGAGCTATACCTCCATATTTCCTAGCTTTTTGCAAAAAAACTCGGACTATTCCTGGGATTGGGGAGAATATGAAACATATTCCAAGGGTAGTGACTCGCTTGAAACGTGGCTGTTTCACTGGATTTGCTGGATTTGCCCGCGCAGCGCACAGAGTGGTCGAATCTGATAGTGAGGAGATGTGAACCTATGGGTTGGCCCAATTGTGGAAAGCACTCCGATTATTGGATGGGACCTATGCTTTTGGTATTTCACATTATTTCACAAGATTTGGGTTACTGTAGCTTGTGCTTATGTCAGTTCAAAGTTGAAGCACAAAAGTGTCAAAGGTTGGGAAACTGCTGATGCACGGGTTGTTGGACGGCTGGAACATGAATGTGTGTCGACAAAGAGGACATGTTCGACCAATTCGACTGTTCATCTAAAGGCTGGTGTGGAGATCAGACCTGCCACATTCAGACTCAGAGATGCTCCCCCCAAATCATTTGCATCGCCGTCCAGCTTGGAGTGACGGGGGATTGAGGGAGTCAGTCCAGGAGTTGGCGATCAAAACAGGGTCCAGAAATAGGCTCGAAAGCCTGCGGATCCTTGCTTTGGGTTTGGTGTTCAATTCCCCACACCCTCTCTCTTCGATGGAAAATCACGTTCGTGTGCCCTTTTCGCAAGGTCTAGGCCAACTCATCGATAGTCCATTCGGTAGTCCATTCGGTTAGTTTTTTAAAGTTCTTTTTAGATCCGGGAACCCCCCCTTTCTCGCCCCTGGCTTGGTAGACTGGTCTATTTTCAGGTACCCACACTGACACCTATTAATTTATGTAGACTCTTGATATATCATTTCTCCATATGGAGAATTGTGAGGATGTCCAATTCCAATGGGACCTGGGAGGTAAAAAATAGATATATATTATAAAGGATACATAGATTAAGAGTCTATTTAGTTTACATCCCATTAAGTGGGACATGAAGCTCTTCCAACCCACGGGACGCGCGTCCAGGACGTCTCCTCCTCAGAGCTGCGTTGGGCCCTGGACGATGTGTGTGGCGAGCTGGGCGAGGCGAGGCGATGAAAACCGAACGATCGCGGAACAGGGGAAGTGGATGGAAGTTGTGTTTTTCTTTCTTGTTTAAAGAGGAATCAACATGATTGGATTCAAGGATTTTCACTGCTTAGCCACAACTATATATATATATACAGTTTAAAACGTAAAAGATGACTCCACATTGTTCCTTTCTTGATTTATTTGTCTCATCATGTCTCATCCCTACTCCTCCAACTAAAACGATTCGCGCCATATAAAGCCTAGTTTTGTTCATTTCACTCGTTCAGCCGACGTCGCTGGCGCCATGGTGTGGCTCGTGCTGCTAGGACTTGGTGCCGGTGGTCCGGGGCCTTGTTGCCAAGAAGCTGTGGGAATGGGCCTTGGACCTCCTCTGGGAGGAGCTCTGTTGTTGTTTCACTTCGATGAAACGAATTGTGATGTGAAAGGAATGGGGGGTTGGTACTGGAAGAGCTACATATCGTTTACCCCATGATAATAGCCCCAATAACTATTCCATACATGGATGGTCTGGGGGGGACCGAGATCAGTTTGTCCAATTCTATCAGTTTTATGCACGACTCACCATCGCCCTTTTGGGTTGGAAGAAGTTCTTCGCATGCAAATTGATGTTCACCGCTTGACTCCGAGTGCCACAGAAGGGGGAAACCGGCTTTCACGATGGAGTCAAGCCCCCTGCTATTTCAGACCCGTAGACCGCTTGGAGTCAAGAGATGCGACGTGACAGGAGATGAGTTCTCCACGCCCTTCTCCGGCAAATCAGGCGCGATCAATGTAGGCTATGGTGCATATGCGGATCAACTACTATAATTTGGGAGACCACCCTGAAAACAACCCCCTGGTGGGTAGGAAACATAGGCGAGTTTACCCTCGATGGGTTAAAGGGTCTCTCTATTTCGATGCAAACTCGTGTGCATAGATCACACACAAGAAGATGTGGAGAGGGAGAGGGAGAGAGAGAGTCTGAGAGAAACAGAGAGACGGTGAGTAGGTAGATGTATCAGATATAAACACAACAATTCAGATTCACCACGCAACAGTTCTTATATGCCCGTCAGTACAAACCTTGTGAGTGCATAGAACCGTGTGGTGCAGAACATTGGTCTATGTTTCTTGCGAAGCACAGCCGCTATGGGAGACGGCCCAAACTCTCCAGGTGGATTCGAATCCAGGCACCGGCGGCAGAAGCGGGTTTGCACTCGCGACACATGTCGTTGACGCATGTTGACACATGTTGTTGTTTTGGTGTGTTGTTTTATGTTAGAAAAGGTATGTTGTGTTTGTTTTGATATGATGTGTTCTTTTCTTGTGTATGTATGTGTGTGTCATGTTGTGAAGCCTATGTTGTGTGTTGTTTTTGAGCGACGATAATTATATACTTGACTTTTGAAATGTTTGTTGCAGTTCTGTGGTCTCGTGCACCAAGTGGCAAGTTGATCAACAGAAAATTGACGGTTTGCAAGCTGTTCATTTGTCATACTTGGGTAAACAGTCACGGTCAGTCACGCATGATTGTGCAGATGGCATATTTGTCAAGTTCAAGTTCTTTTTGAAAATTTTTTTGGAGTTGATAGAAGCAACAACGCTGTCCACACCCTAAAGCTTGAATCAAAGTAAGATGTGCAACAGTGAAGATTCCATTCAACCTGGCAGAAGTATACCTATGTCTGTGTAGCAAATCTCTTGTGAACATATGCTTAATTGCTATGCTGCAACTGGTGGAAAGTCTGAAAGCTCCACAAAAGGTAAGACCAATAGGGTGATCCCATGGCAATGTCGTTTTGACAGATTTTGACCCCTTGACCGGTGCAGGAATGCCCGTTGGGGTGATCTCGGCTTTGATGCAGGGCTGCCAAAGAGCAGGCTAGACCTGCTCAGTGGTGGTTTTGAGGCGTTGATTTTGGTTTCAGTTTGGGTAAGCTTCATATATACCTAGAACCTCGTTAGGCAATAATTTCCGCCCAACGCCATTTAGGCAGAAAATTCAGCCCGTTTTTGCAAAGAACGCCTAAGCTGCAGCCTCGAGGGTCAAAAACGCCGAGGCACAATCACATGCATTCTTACATGCAGGAGGCAGAGCCAGAATTTGAATGACAAAAATTGAGAAAACAAACGCCTGCCACTTGACGCTAATCCCCAGTCAAAGTTATTGAAACTCATGTCGCTCACTCCCCCAAGAAGATCCAAAAAGGCTACCATTCCGTTGTCCGCCCAACTATTGATTGTAGTGAGGGGGGAACGGGCAAGAACGCCTAAGTAACGGGCAAGAACGCCCAAGTAACGGGTAAGAACGCCTAAGTGACGGGAAGAACACCTACGCAAAAAGATATTAAAGCAATGAATCAAAGCATAGAAAAACTAAAAACATACAAAAGATATCACAAGAGAAACAATAAGTGAATTCCTGACAAACAAATGTGCCTCACTATGAAAGTTCCTGGAATCAGTGGTGGGTGGATCCTCATCTATTTGAGCAATGCCACCAAAAGGACAAGAACGCCTAAGCACGGGCAAAGTCGCCTTTACCCATAATAGGCAGAAATTTCTGCCCAAGAAGAGGTTATAGGTATATATATATATATTTGTTTCAACCCAAGTTCTCCGGTGTGAGTAGCACACATTGTTGCATTTCCAAGTTGAACTGATTCCAATGAACGACCTCCTTGCCAAACTGGGACCCTCATGTTGAAACAACGATCGCTGAATCAGGTCAAACCTTCAAAAAGTTACGTTGACCGGTGGGGTCTCATCGAGTTGGGGGTTGCCTTTGTATTGCAGTTCTATCTAATTGTCCAAGTGGTCCCATTCTACAAAGTCATGGCAAATTTGTTTGTTGTCCCATGACTAATTGTTTGTTGTCGTTCTAAACGACCTTCTAGACTTCGAGTTGTCCCGTTCAATTTACCCCCTATGGATCCACATACCAAACCTGAGGTATGGTGAGGAAGGAGACTATTGATGTCGGCGCCAGGAGAGCCCACATAGCGAACCTGAGGTACGGTGGCAGTGGATCCATAGGGTACACATATGCAGGTCACTTCGGCTGTTCGACCCTGACCCTCTAGGCGCCTGGGAGACATGTGTGGCCTTACTCCACACAGCCCAGCAGCAAAGGCACGGGGCGCAACGCGGAAACGGGGCCGTTCGGCTGCACCAAATGGTTGAAGGAAGAGAACCTGCACCACCTGGAAGTACCGAAATACATCAGCATGCTGCAAGATACAGATGCATGTTTGTGGCTCCTTATGAATTGGTGTATGTTTGGGCCAGTTTGGGGCTGGCTATACTCAGCATCTTTGATCTCCATTGGTCATGATTGAGTGAATCCCTTTGCTTTTCCTTGGAAATTGGACTTTGGAGTCTTTAAGTCGTTTGCATGTCTGGCGAGAACACTGCTCAAAGTGAAACCAAGGGAAGCAAGCAAATGACCAAGTCCCCCCAAAAGAGCAGGTTCCTTCTTTCAAGCCCTCTATACCTGGAGTTTTCAGAAGGTATGGATCATGTGAAAGGCAAATTTCCCAAAACCCCAGAAATGTGATATCATGGGATCAAACAAAAAGCTCGCGCGAGCTCTACAATGCTGGTTGATCACCGAACAAAGGCAATCTTCCGGCCTTGAATGTCGAACTCGCCCAGATTACCATACAATTTGGTGTCCTTCAACGTGACCATCGATGCCTGTCAAAAAGGCTCGCTCCGGAGCTCCATGTGTCGGACTCTTCAACCTTTGCGGACTTGCGACTTGCACGTGTTGACTCCGTGTTTGATCCGTTGTTTTAAACATGTGGCTTTTTACACACATGATCAAAGATCCCAAGCACGGTTTCGCAGCAGAGAGGGAAGCAAGAGAGAGAGAGTGAGAGAGAGAGAGAGAACAAGCCATGTGTTTTTTGTTTTGCACTGGAACATGTGTATTCATGGAGAATAGGGGATGCATTGGAATTACCTTTGTTGAAGCTCTGCGAAAGAACGGGCAACAGGAGATTTTGTTTGCGTTCATGTATATTATATGTTTCTTCCTGATGAAATCATTAGAACATTTATCAATCATGATTCCTCATCCCAAGCGGAGAGTTCGTCATCTCTGTCGACCTGTCTTCGCCAGGCGGCGCGCCTTGGCCGGTGGCACTGGAGTTGCTCAAATCGATCGAGAACTCCGACGTCGAAGCCAATGCCTGGAGCCTCAGGTGGAGTCGTTGCAAGGAACTGATGGAGTTTTCGTTGCCTCTTTTTTGGGGGAACGCAGGAACTGATGGATGAGGTTGTGTCGGTTGTGTGCCACAAAAAAATTGTTCTTGATGTGATGTTTAAAGATTACGTGCTGTGAAGAAAAATCCAGACATGGATGTCCGGGATGTACGACCTTTGTTGGATATTACTCAAAATCAAGCACTTGCAGACCAATCATGTTCCCCACCTCCTGAAACCGCCTGACACCTGCTTGAAAATAGGCACTTGCGTGGCTCTGGCAAATCATTTGCAAAGGACAAATTGACATGCTAATGTGGGGACTCTTTGACATCCTGATTTGGGGACTCTTTGTAGGTGAGGTCAAGTAAGGACAAATAATGGACAAGTTAATCATGATAGAAGGTGTTTGATTGAACTCAAGATTGTTCCACCTTGGAGAAGTAGTTTGGTTTGTGTATGGTTATTGTTTCTGTTGTTCCGGTGAATGATTTCTTGCTATTGTACCGAGATTGTGGACACCTCTCAAAATAGAAGGCACCTATGTATGACTGACTCTGAATGTTTCGGACATGTTGGACATAAACTTGCTAACAGGAGGCACTTTTCCTCTATACTAGTAGCGTGAGCACTATGACCAACCCGACAAATCAGGTTGGGCCCCGTACTTCCTTCAAACAAGCATGATTTGGTGATTGGGATTTTCGTCATGTATTCCACTTGTGAACTCCATGAGTGGCTTTTGCTGGAACACAGTAATAGTACTGGGGATATTCTGGATTAAGAAGCATACCCAACTCATCCCAATACCACCCACCGAGATCTTCCTCGATCGAGGAAGTCACTTGGAGCTCTGCTATTGCAGCCTGTGGCAAGGCAGCTGAGTGGCAAAGATCTTTGCAGCTTGACGCACCACACCGACCTCGTGCGTGAGAGCTTTGCTGGGCTCAGGATTGGTGACATGGGGACCCAGTCGTGACCCCTTTGCCCTGGTCCATCCACGTGCCAACCGGTCGATGTGAGCGGAAGGATCCACTGCCACCATGAATGGTCGATGTGAGGGGAGGATCGCGTGGGGGGGGCGTGAGAAGGATGCGTGAAGTATTCTGTCAAGTTGAAGCCCCTCTTGTCAACAACTCACAAGCCAGTGACATGCATAGATCATGGACGATCATGGGTCATTGACAAATCAATCAGAGACATGTCCAAACTCCACAAGTCCTTCCTGGCCCAGGTTTTGCTCCCTGACTTCTCAGGTTTTTGCTCCACGACGCTCGGAGCGCGGCCGGCTCCTTGCGGGGCGCTCGAGGTGCGGATTCGGTGCGCTGGCAGCTGGTCTCCTTTGGCGCAGCGCTGGCCGCATGTGCCGAGGGCAAAGCCTGGTGCCTGGGAGAGTCGACGTGGGACGCCGAGAAAGCGAGGTCGAAAGCCGTGGAGAAGCTGGAGCGGATGTAGGCCGACGTAGGCCATCAACAAAAGTAAGTGTATAGAAACAGGAGGTGTTGAAATGTCTTCTAGAACCTGAAAATTTAATGCTTGACAGAGACATGATCTTTTTCTTACTCGTAGTGGCTTCTGGATGTAGTTTGTGTGGAAGAGAAGCAGAAGCAGTTTGCTGAGACAATCCAGCAAGGCCGGAGTTCATTTATGGTCAACGGGGCCTGACCATCCTCCGTGCTGACCATGTACTTGGCTGAAAATGGCTGAACAGTTTGGGGTGCAGAAGGATGCCAATCACTCATGGGACATATATATATATATACACGCTGTATAACTTATATATATATATACCTGGAACCCATTCTCTGTTTTGATAGGAAAAGACCATATTTTGGGTGGTTGGTGGTCCAAAATAGAGGTCATTCAGGTTCTAGGTATATATACATATGTGTTTAATGTTTCAATTTCAGAATTAGGGAGACCTCCCAGTTCGACCCCCTGGAAGAAGGGAAGTAGACCAGTCTACCCCTTGGGCCAGGGGGATGTTGGGGGGTCTCCAATTAACATACACCCACATGTTTCTAGGATCCTGAAGGAAATGCAAAGGCCCACCTCAACTGGGCTTCGGGCTTTGCCACTCGCAGGCGAGAAGCACTTGGTCTCTTCGAGTATATGCATGAGTTTGGACCGAAGCCCAATGTGAGCCAGCTGAATGAATGGGAACCTATATTATGTACACATGCATATTTTTATATACACATGCATTGGGAGGATCATTTCTTATCACTTCTAATTGCATGTGGGGTGCATGGCATGCATAGATGTTCAGGAATCAATTCCAGTCACAAGCGTTTTGTGTGACTGTTCTTTCGCTTTTCAGTCGCAGAATCCTTGAGTCCCACAGAATCCTTGAGTCCCACGAAGGAAAGTTTTGCCTGACAAACTGAAATGCAATGCCGTTGCTTTTGTTTTGCTAAGGTGATTTGTGCCAATTCCCTGCTGAATGCCTTTGCGAGAAGCCTTCACTGGGAGTCCGGTGCCATTTGCATCAGAACGTGTTGATGTCACTGTGGATGTGTGTTATGAACCATGCAGTGGTTGTCCAGAAGAGCCAACCATATGACCTACAGGTGCTTAAGAGAGCCGTACCGTATACAGCTTGTTTGTAGATATAGTGCTTGCCATTTACGGGGATGTTCAACGGTTTGATGTTCAACGCTTGGGAAACCCACCTTCCGTGCTTAGGGCCGACTCTTTGCTGAACAGATGCGGTAGGAAGAAGAATCCAGTGTGGACATGTGTGAAATGTCAATCTCTTGGAACAGAAAGATTTGGTGACAGCGATGTTCCAACGGGTGAAACAGCTCTGAAATCCAATGGTTGTACAATTTAGAAGTTTTGTTGTGGTTCAATATGTGGTTTTTTGTTGTTATTATTTTTTTCACACATTTTTGGAGTCTTTATATATTTTTTTTCCGGAGGAAAGCGATGGCACAGCTAGTGGCGCTGCAAGAGAGAGGACCTGCGCCCAGTGCAGCTGGGACAAGCCAATCCTGGAGGTGTTTTCGTCAAGTGTCCTTCCTATAGAATCATTACAGAATCATTACACTCCCGAAAACTCACATGGACCCGACCCGGGTCGAATGCCCCTTCTGAGTGTGATGGTGTTCCTTCTTCTAACCAGTGGCGCCCTCAGGGTCCGAGGTCATCACGGACGGGATCATAATTATATTGTTTGCAATTTTATGTGGGAGGCTTTGTTGATTGATCAGGGAAGAACTATAAAGTCATAGCAAGTACTCCTACGCCCAAGCTTGCTTGGCTGTTGCAGACCCAATCAACGAAAAACCGTCGGTTGTCCGGGGTCTCACCCCGGTGAAGCCATTGAGCCACCGGTGAAGTCATGCGCCACCACCGGGAGAGCGGAAGGTTCGAGGTTATAAGTGGAGGCATCCTTTGAAGCATCAGTCACATGTCGTGTTAAGTGTGGTGCCCAAAACATCAACTCACCTTGGTCGTGACGGGTTCAGACCCAAAACCACACGAAATCGTGCTCCGTGGTGGGTGGCTGGGTGGGTGCTCCCGGTTAGTAGACCCTTTTCTTGGGTTAGGGGCTGCTTCAGGTCATCAGCTTCAATACGGTCATGAGCGCTTGCCGGTCTTCTTGGCAGCGCACTTGGAGTGTCTTGCAGCTCATGCAGGCGGGAGGAGCCAATCCAGCGCGAGCCAAGGAAGGAGCGTATCTGAAGAAGGAGCGTGGTTTCCGAGAAGTCAGAGGAGTCATCAAAACATGCCAACCGCCTGTTTTTTTTTAATCCATGCTTTTGGGGCGTAAAAAAATTGGGGCGCTTATATAATGACTCTTGACCTTCGATCAACGGTCGGAATTGACTCGAACATCGTTTTTTTTCCTCTTCGAGTCCCAACCAGTCGCAATGGCATTGGCCTTCGCGATGGGTGCGCATGTTGGGAACTTGTGCAAGCATTGATGACTGACGTAAACCTGTTTGGAGTGGGGTTGCAGCAGCCCAGTGCCATCCGACTGTCCAGTTCAGTTCACTAGGTCGACGAACTCGTGGAGCCCGTTTTTTCTGGCGAAGACATCACCTGTTTGTTCCACAACAAAGGAACCACCCGTGTTCCACGTACAGGAAGGACCAGTTTAAGAGGCTTCCCGGGTTTCTATTTGTGACAGACATCTTCCGGACATCCACTGGGTCTCTGGTGGGCGACCGTGGGCGAAGATGCGCAGTGTGAACGGGGGCAGGGTGTTGATGCTCGCCAATGTAAAGGCGGGACAGGTTTTTGGGAAGTCATCCGTAACTGTCATAGAATGTTAAGCCATGCTAAACCTATCAAAACATATGTTGGATAGACCTTCAAACTATCTTCAAACTAAAAAGCTCAGATGTCAAACCTATCATCATAATACTGTATAGAGAATGTTAATGACTGTTAAAGATGTTAAAGAAAGGAAGGGTTTCATCTTCCTGTAGTTGAGGTTGAATTTCAATAGTACGTCCGGTTTACTTCTTGTTCTATATATTTCGAGGTGATCTCTATCTTCATCGCGGAGATCTCCCGTTTGTGGAGTTCCAAAGTTCCAAAGCAGAGGGTGAAGAAATCACACTCGCACATGGTGAACCTTCTTCTTCGGGAGAAGCATTGAAAGGATCCTTGGAAACTGCCAAAAGTACATAATACCTTGCCGACCCTCAATAGCCCTCAGATAAGTTAGACATTCTTATATTTGTTTAGGTAGGGGCATGTTGTTTTCTGGTTCAGGACTGCTCGCTGGCCAATGACAGCTCCTTCAGCACCTTTATCGCCGAAACCTCAGAAACAAAGAGCAAGGATAGAGTTACCCCACTGAAAACTAACATAGACCCTGAAAACCACTGGTTTGTAGAGGAAAACGGTCTTTGAGGGTACCATTATCAGGGTCCTTGTTAGTTTTCAGGAGCGTATCAAAGATGGGTTTGGGGTGGCATGTGGGGACACTCATGAAGCCTCTCACTTCTGTACTTCTCACTCCAGTGTTGTAGAATACATGTGTTCAATCTATATATTCCTCACGGCCTGTTTTCGTTAGTAGTCACCAATCAATAGGCGTTCCATGTGTTGGAGATATAGTTTTACCCTTTGCTCAACAAACATGGAAACTGCATCTTGGAAGACTGATTCTTCAGGGGCCTAGGGGGTAACTTACCAGATCGATATCTTCTTCCAAGCCTTTTTGGAGGATTCAAGTTATAAACTCTAGGCCCATAACCTCCAGTGCAAACAACTTACCCATGATTGCGGGATGATATTGTGTTTGAGGTTTAATATAATTACTCAGGGAACTGAAGCAACATGACCAGCATTTACGTGTTTCAGTGGCTCTACTCCTCCATTTCATGGTTAATTTATGCCAATTTCATGGGATCAAAACTTGAGACAGCAGTGCCGTCCATGATGGTTAAGGCATCTTTGCCAGCAGAGCAATGGAGACTTGCTCTTGCAGTCCTTCAAGCGCGCCTGGGTTCTTAGCCTCAAGCCCACCGAATGGCACCGGTCATGGCACCAACGTCACGTAATCGACGTCGATTTCGGTTCTGTCCGCACGGTGGCGTGGCAAAAATAGAAATGGTTAGAAACGGTGTCCAATACATGTCATACCGGTATGTTTACCATTCAACGGGATATGGACTGCGCTCAAAAAGCCCACTCCAAAAAACAAAGATAAACGTAAACTTTTAAGGTTGGAGAAGTGTTTTTAAGTCTTCGTTTAGAAGCGGGCCACCAGCAGACTATAGTGATACAGCAGTGATACAGCAAGGCAGCGCTAGATTGGCGCTAGGTTTCTTCATAATATGACAAGCAAGCAGGAACAAGCAGAAACAAGCAAAGCGCAGAAAAAAGAAGAAGCAAGACAGGAAAAAGGAACAACAAACAAGAAGAATAAAAATTAATTGCGCAACAAGAAGCAGACAAGCAAGCAGGGAAAAATATCAGGTATATTTTTTGTTTTTATCTATCTATCTATCGATCGATCCATCCATCCATTTATCTACTTATTTATCTATCTGTCTGTCTGTCTGTCTGTCTGTCTGTCTCTCTGTCTGTCTGTCTCTCTGT